GGGCATTGCATATCCTGGCCCGGGAGTCGCACAACAGGGCACTGATTCGCCAACAGTCGGTCATACCGATCTTTGTGCGTTTGCTGTTCAACGAAATAGAGAACATACAGGTGAGTAGTCCCTCAATAATGATCCAAAAACACAGTTGGAATGACCTTTGGAATGTCCATATTTAGCGCGTGGCTGCTGGAGTCCTCTGTGAGCTGGCCGCCGACAAGGAGGGCGCCGAAATAATCGAACAGGAAGGCGCCACCGGGCCGCTAACCGATCTGCTGCATTCGCGCAACGAAGGTGTGGCCACGTACGCCGCCGCCGTGCTCTTCCGGATGAGCGAGGACAAGCCGCAGGACTACAAGAAGCGTCTGTCCATCGAGCTGACCAACTCGCTGCTGCGCGAAGACAACAACATCTGGGCCAACGCCGACTTGGGCATGGGTCCCGATCTGCAGGTGCGTCCGCTAGTCTAGTTACCGCCAGGTCTCCCCCCAGCGATCTGTTCCCCTGCCACGACCAACGACCCGCGCGCCCAGCGCCCCCCCCCATAAAACTGTACATAAAACTGTAAATTTGTAGAAAACTATCTAGCCTATCTAGTCCCAGCATTTATATAACACTGCCATATCGAGTATTAAGTATATATCGACCTGTATAGCCGCTATATATCGGTATCCTGTTCCTCCTTTTCGATTTTTTCGATTATTCTTTGAGATTTGCTTTGTAAGCCACGAATCGATAGATCCGATTCGTGTATTTTAATCGATAAGTGTAGGTAGAAAAACGCATTTGGCTGTAGATGATGAATAACGATCAGTACCTCATCGTATTTTAAGACTCCAGTTACCACCACCCCCGATCCACTATCCTGGCTCCTGAAACACATATGTCCTTTGGAAAACTACATACGTTTATTTGAAAATTTCGACATAGAATCTTGTTTGTGCTTATGATTATGATTTTTGTAATTAATTCACGTTTTTTATTTACTTTTTGTTCTTTTCTTTTTTCCTTTTTATGTTTACTTTGTGTGTGTAAAAAAAAAAAAAAACCAAAAACCAACCAAAACCAAAAAAAAAATCACAACCAACACAACTGCAACGATATGACGGAAACTGCACTGCAAAAAAAAAAAAAAAACAATAATTTCTCATCACTACATCGAACGCGATTCTATCTCTCTATGAACCCTTGCCTCACTACCACCTCTACCACCCACCCATCCACCCACCCACTCTCTCTTTCCTCGTCTCTCACACTCACTTGCAAACCGTTGTTTGCGTGTGTCTTCTTCTTTCCTAACAACTTTTCACTTCTGATCCATCCCAAAATAAAAAAAAAAACCGAAAAAAAAAATGAAATCAAAAACGAAACTGTAAAAAAAAAAAATATAAACATCACATCTACACGAACGATCATACATACGCGCATACACCGACACACACACACACACCCACACACCGACACACATGGCACACACACCGACCAAAAACGATAACGATATCAACCACAGGATATGCTTGGACCCGAAGAAGCATATGAGGGCCTGTATGGACAGGGTCCGCCCAGTGTGCACAGTTCGCACGGAGGTCGCGCATTCCACCAGCAAGGTATGTACGAAGTCATATGCATAAGAAGAGACCCAAAGACCCACCCACCCCCCACCCCACCCTACGAAAAAGAAGAAGAGCCCATCTACCCTTCAAAAGCCCTTCAAAATCTCAAAAGAAACCAAATAAGAGAATATCAGGACGAATTCGAGGTTCAGGCCATTCGATAACTCCCCTTCCGCCCATCATATTTAATCGTTATCGTGTCTGTTCATGTTCATCGATCGTTAAGCACTAGTTAACCCCCCTTTCCAAGATAAACGTTCACAACGGTTCTTTCGGTGAGAGCCCCCCCACCCGAACCCAAAAGCCCCTCGCTAGCGCACTCTCTCTTAACCCTTTTCTGTCTCTCTTATCGTCCATGCTCGATAATCCCCGCCCCCCTGGAATTTCGTTACCCCTTAATTACCTCGAGTGCATGACAAAGGAAATACTTAAATTTAATTTATGAGCGTTTTGAGTTTGGTTATGCAACACCATGCCCGGGTTAGCCAGGAAGGCAGGTTGTCTTGCTCTCTCTTTCAAGAAACATCCCACGTTGGGCGCCATTTAAAGTGCTTTGAGAGCAAACGATGAATGTTATCGATAGTTGCGGGGATTTCTAGGTTAGGATGTTCTCGGACTCTACACGTAGTTAGTTGCACTCCACAAGCACACACAATAAAAGGACTGGAACACCCACAACTGTGTATATTTTCTCAGTTTTTTGCAACTTTAAAGCCAAAGGATGTGTCATCGAATCGACGATGGGACTGAGAAGGCCACAAGAGTTAATTTTATTTCATTTTGAATCGTTAAATCTTCTGTTTTCTTAGACAAACAAACATCTTGAGTTGAAGAAGAATCGTTCCATAATTTCAGTTGAGTTCAGTTGTGCATGACACGTAGTCTGCGATAGACCTAGTCACCTACTATATCTTATCGTGTATATATTATATATTTCTAAAAACATACTATATAGTTAGTAAGATATATCCATTATGTGTGTGCATGCCGATATGAGGAGCCCGACTCGCATCGTATCGATCTGATCGTTGTCGTGAAATATTTAATTTAGTTTTTAGAATCTTTAAGAAAGAATTTAATGATTTTCCAAAGCAGGAACGGATGGTACCAGTTGGTGAAATCCTGGCTGGCAATATTACTTTTCCAAACTCGATTAAAATATCTTGAAAGCCATAGGATTTCACTAAAGATCCATCTGCCGTGGAGGATGTGCCAGACCATTGCTTTAGTAATCCAACAATTCTTCCCCTTTTTTTTATCCCCTCTTCTCTCCCCGTTTCGTTTTGTCCGCAGGATATGATACTCTACCAATAGATTCGATGCAGGGTCTGGAGATCAGCAGCCCGGTGGGCGGCGGCGGCGCTGGCGGTCCCCCTGGCAACAATGGGGCTGTGGGCGGAGCTGGCGGCGGCGGTGGTCCCGCTATCGGGGCCATCCCGCCCGGCGGTGCACCCACATCGCCCTATTCCATGGACATGGATGTCGGCGAGATCGATGCCGGTGCATTAAACTTTGATTTGGATGCCATGCCGACGCCTCCGAACGACAACAACAATCTGGCTGCCTGGTACGATACCGACTGCTAGACGATGCGATGACGACGACGACGACGACGACATCAAAAACTAAAAACGACGAGCTATACAAGTCGATGATATTCCATCGACTTCATAAAAACACGAATTCCCCGTCCCCCCCGTCCCAGGAACAGAAGGTCCTTCTTTCGCTGGTCACCCAGATGTGTGGATCCCCTCCGGCGATTATAACGACATCCGCTGATTTGACGAGATCAACGATGGGTTGATTTTATTTAACAATGACGAGACTATGGATGCAGCCTGGACAGCGGAAGAGGGCTTCTCTATTCAGACAAACACACACACCCACACCCACTCTCTTCCTCGACAAACACACACGCATACATACATAATACATATATATTAATTATAATGCGAACGCAACGGCAAGCAAAAACATATTATATGACAGCATTACATATTATCCACATAACGAAATGGAAAATTAAACAAAATGTTTGCAATAGAACTCGTACATTTCCTCTACAAGACTCTCTTATTATTCGTGTTGGGCTCTGTGGGGATTCATACGCTCTATCGTTCTTAACAAAACAGGATCAAAACTTTATTGGAGCAATGTGGTACATCTATCTGTGCTTGCCAAACCACTTGTGGTCGACCGGCGAGAGCCATCGATGGCAGCCGCTGAGGTTGTTCTGGATCACGTACTTCATGGTGAAGGGGTTCTGGTTCTCGCGGGCATGCTGCTCCTCCAGGGCCTGCTGGGCGTCCAGCATCTCCTGCGAGACGACGGTGGCCTCGAAGGGCAGCTGATTGGCCACCTGCTGCAGGAAGCCCTTGACCTCCACGAACTCGCACCTGCCGGCAATTTCGACAATGACGCGGCCCGCCTTGATGGGGGTCACATAGTGATCGATGGCACCTTTGCCGCCGCCCATGCGCTGGCCCTGGCCCTTCTTCGTGATGGGCTGCCAGGGAGCGGGCACCCGCCATGTGGCGAACATCGTGTTGGTGTTCATCTTCCGGCCGATGGTTAGACGCATCATCTCATAGTGGCCCCAGCGCAGCCGACCGCCTCCGGTGGCCACGATGGCGTACTGCTTGTGCAGCAGTGTGTTGTGGACAGTCTCAGGTCCGCGCATGTAACGCAGTCGTTTCTGCATCTTGGGAGGTCGGATGTTCGGCGGCAGCTGTGGCTGGCGCTCCATGATTCTCAGCTTGGGCCGTTCCGGTTGCTCCACATCTATGAAATGGTTGATTACTTGAGAGTCGGTTCAGCGACTGGAGGCACTTACTCTGATACTTAATGGGCGGCGCAAAATACTTAAGACCGGCTGTGTTAACAATTGAAATGTTGCCTGCTAGAAACGATAAAATCTGTATGAATAGGGACTCCAATCGCCTCGGAAACACTTTGCTTACCCGACAGGCTTTGCCTGAACAGCTGTGAGGCAGTTTTCAGGGTCAACATATCTAGTTTTTACTCAGTTTTTCTTATATATTGCTAATAACTAAATCTAAAAATGTGTTATATCAACAACAAGAGTGATGCCAGATCGGTAAATGCCTTAACACTGCCACCTGGATGGAAACTTGACAAAAACGAATTGTACCCAAACTTATTCTTATTTACTAATAAATATTACTAAAAATCAATAAATTTAATTAGCATTTTTTATAAAAATAAAAATTTTTTAAATAAATAAACGATTATGGAATGTACCATGGAATGAGTACAAATTAACCACCATGGTTTGGCGGAGTTGCCACATCCGTCAACTTCGATAAACTTGCAACGATGTGCACACACTGGAGTGACCGCGATGTGGGTGTACCCACTGTTATCGGCCGTGCAACTCTGTATTTTGTATTTTTCTGCGGTATTTTTTTCATGTATTTTCAATTCGACCAGCCAAAAAAGTGTTGGATACACTGCTTCTGCATAGAAACTAAATTTCCTGTCCCACACACGAAAAGCAAAAAGTGCATGTTTTCCGCTGGCGAACCGATTGCAGCAAGCAGGCTAGCAGGCAGTGGCTAGCTAGCCATCTCCCTCTGGCCATTCCGCATCTCCGCGACCGCATCCCGAAATCCGGAGGAGAGTCCGCGTTTAGCGTTTTCCACTTGTGTGTGTTTTTTGTTATGAATATATCGAAGGTGACAACATCGCTTGGTGGCGCCGAAAAGGCGAAGCCCGCAACTTCCGCCACTGCCGTTGTCGTTGCAGCAGGGAGCGGAAGTGCCACAGTTGGTGGCGGTGGCACTACTGGTAGCGGTGGTGGTGGTGGTGGTGCACCCATCTTCAATGCGGTCAGCATACAGAAGCGCTCCAGTGCCGAGGACTCTGCAGAGGATTCCTCCGCTCGCAAAAAGCAAAAGACAACCGAACTGATAATCGCCAAGAGCGCCACAGCGGCGACTCCGACCCAGCAACTGCTCTACCAACTAAAGCCCAAGAATCCCAGCGAGCAGTCCGACAACCAGCAGCCGGAGGATGCCACCGTTTGGACTCCCGGCGACCAGCAACAGATCATAGTGTGCAATTTCGGCGAGATGAGCGCAATAAAGTCTCAGGATGAGTCCGAAAAGCAGAGTGAGTAGTTCCTGCCTGATTCCTGCTTAGCAATTCCAATATAATCCATTCGTTCTCCCACCTGCAGACTTTAGCTTCACCAAAAAAGAGGCCGGCTCATCCAGCTCGTCCTCCTCCTCCACAGCATCCATCATATCGCTAGAGCCCAGTGGTTCTGGCCAGGATCAGGGCGATAGCCAGCCCGTGGGCAAGGCCGAAGACCTGGACTTTGTTCTAATGCCCGCCGCCAGTACTGACAACTCCACTGCGAATGCAGCCACAACAGGAGGGGGAGGCAGTACCTCCGGCATAACCTCCACAATCATTTTGAACGCCAACAATGGCGGAACGACGACGACGGGCGTGGCGGGGACAACCACCACGATTCTCACCCAGAAGCCGGGCCAGGCCAACTTTAACATCTTCAATGTACCCGTGACCGCCACGGGGAGCCAGACGCCGATGACCACGATCCTGAACCGGGCCAACCTGCACCAGAAGATGAAGACGACCCAGCTGGTTGTGAACGCCAAGAAGCTTTCGGAGGTTACCCAGACCACGGCCAAGGTGTCCATTGGCAATAAGACGATATCGGTGCCGCTGCTGAAGCCCCTGATCAGTGCCAGTGGAGTTGCCACCGCCGGTGGGGCCACCATCGTGGAGAGCAAGCAGCTGCTGCAGGCGGCCGGTGGCCAGGTGACCGCTAATGCAGTGGTTAGTGCCGCCAGTGTCGCGGGCGGGCAGCAGGTGCTGCCACACGGTCACCCCCAGCCGCGCCAGCACAACTTCACCAACCTGATCAAGCGCGGCCCCAAGAACCCCGCCACTATAGTCTCCTTCTCCGGATTGCAAATCAAGCCGGCCACCACGAAGTTCGTGGCCGCCAAGGTGGTCAGCAAGAAGATGTCGCTGCAGCTCCAGCAACAGCAACTCCAGCAGCAGCAGACGCAGCAGCAGCTGCAGGTGACGAGTGGCGCCAGCTTGGCCCCCGCCACGGGCAGCATCGTCACCATAACCACCACCAATCCCAGCCAGACGTACGCCATGGTCCAGGATGCTGCAGCAGGCGCCGGAGCCGGATCCAATTCCAGCTCCATCACGGAGGATGAGAGCCCGGCGCCGCGGAAGATCACCTACAACACCGAGAACATTCAGAAGATCCTGAACAAAAGCAAGAACCAGGACCAGCCGGAGGAGTTCGCGAACATCAACAGCGTGGTGATCAAGCCCCTGGACAAGACCACCCTGAACTGCCCCACTAGCTTCAACATCTTCAAGCAGCAGCAACAGGCTGTCACGGTGGCGGCGGCGGCGGCGGGGCAGCAGGGCAACCAGAACCAGACTCCGGCCACCTCCTCCACCGCCTCGGACCTGGCCTCCGCCTCCACAGTCTCCGTCTCTGCCGGCACCATCTGCATCAATAGCCCGGTGGTGGGCACGCGGCCCATCATCTCCATCACCAACAACAAGAACATATCCCTGGTGCTGTCGAAGACGACGATGGCCCAGCAGAAGCCCAAGATGATAACCACCACCACTATGGCCACGATGCACCAGGCTCTGAACCAGGAGGCCGCCAACGACAAGGGAGCCGTAGGTGTGGTGGGAGGCGGGGCTGCGGCGCCGCCAATGCAGCTCAAGCAGACGCCCACGAAGCTGAGTGTGAGCCTGACCTCCAGCCAGCAGAGTGGGGTGGGCCAGGAGGCCAAGCTGGAGGAGATCGGCAGTGAGCCGAAGGTGAAGCTGCTGGTGAAGCAGGAGGTGCCGGTGGTGAAGAGCAGGGAGGCGACCACGCCCACGGGTCAAGACCCCGAGCAGGATTCCACCCCCGAGAAGCAGCGCCTAAACGCCAGCACCACCCTGACGCCCATCAACCAGGTGCCGACGGGCGGTGTGGGGAGCACAGCGCCCCAGGCCCCTACCTCGAATCCCAGCACCCCCAACTCCAATCCCGCCACGCCACAGAACACGCACAACAACCAGCGGTCCGGGACGGACGAGTCCAACAACGCCCTGCTGAAGCAGCTGCTCCAGAACACCAGCAACAGCCACAGCCTCAACCAGATAAGCATCACATCGGCCCACGTGGCCAACGCCTCGGCCACGCCCCCGTTGTCGGCGCGCAAGGTGATCAACGTGCGGGCGCCTAGCATGGGACCTGCTCCCAGCAGCCTCGAGGCTCAGCTGGCGCGTCCGGTGAAGCCGCCCCTGCCCACAGCCACGCCGGGAGGCACGACGTCGTCTGGCAGTGGCGGCGGCAGCAGTGGAAGTGCCAACAGCAGCAGCAGTGCCCCCGTCACGTCCACATCCACCACGACGATGGCTGGAGCAGGCAGCTCCACTGTATCCGCTGCGGGGACGGCGGTGGCACCAGTGCCCGCCACCACGTCGGGGCCGATTGCGACTCCCGTGGGTGCCGGAGAAGCGAAGATGGAGCCGAAGGCAGAGGCACCTGTGGCGGTTAACCAAAACCAAGTGCCACCGCCACCTCCTCCACCACAGCAGCAGCAGCCGGCGCCGCAGCAGCAGCACCTGCCAGTGCAGCCACCTGTTCAGCCTCCCCAGGCATCCCAGCCAGCCCAGCCCCCAGCGCATCCAGTCACCAAACAGACCGTACAAATAGTGTCCAAGGAGACCTCGTTTATATCGGGGCCACCCAAACCAGTGGCGGAGGCCAATCCCAAGCCCAATGAGCTGCTGCCTCCGCCGCCGTACGAACTGGCCACGGCGCCCGTCTCCAACGTCACCATCTCCATATCCACCAAGCAGCCGGCGGCCAAGGAGCTGCAGATGAAGCCCAAGGCGGTGGCCATGTCGCTGCCCATGGAGCAGGGCGACGAGTCGCTGCCTGAGCAGGCGGACCAGCCCCCGAATCAGGATCTGGGCGCCACACCAGCCGGCGGAGCACCGCCCACAGCCGCGGCAGCTACGGTGCCGTGGAGCAACAGCAACCATCTGGAGGCGGGCGTGGGCGCCACCAAGATACCGTTCAAGCCGGGAGAAGCCCAGAAGAGGAAGCTGCCCATGCACCCGCAGATGGAGGAGAAGCAGCTTCAGGGGCAGCTGGAGGAGAAGCATCTGCAGGTGCAGCTCCAGCAGCTGGTCGATCCCGGCCAGGTGACGCCCGGCACTCCCACGCCGGACAAGGTGCATCTCATATCCTCGGTGCTGACGGGCTACGTGAAGAAGCCCGGAACTGCCGGCGAAGCCACCATCCAGGCCGTCCCAAACCAGAGCCCGGGCCAGGCGCAGATGCAGGCCCAGTTGCACGCGGCCATGCAGGCTCAGCTGCCGGTCCAGATGCCGGGACAGATGCCCAATCAGATCCAGGGCCAGATCCCAGCCCAAATGCAGATCCAGGTCCAGCAGCAGCAACACCATCAGCAGCCCCATCCACAGCAGCAGCAGCAGACGCACCAGCAACACCAGGTGCTGCAGGTGGGCCAGGGTCAGGGGCCGATGGCTGGAGGCGGAGTGCCCGCCATGCCGGTAGAGCCCAAGGCGGGGGACCAGCGCAAGCGACGCAAGCGGGAAGTGCAGAAGCCCAGGCGCACCAACCTGAATGCTGCCCAGACGGCGGCGGGAGTGCTGAAGGATCTGACGGGCACTCTGCCGGCGGGAGCCATGGTCCAGCTGACCGGGATGCCGCCGGGCACCCACTACATCCAGGGCGGCAGCAACAGCGTGATCAGCAACTCTGGAGCGGGCGGCGTGACGCCCGGAGGAGCCGGATCCGCCGCCAGCGCCTCGCCAGCGATGATGAAGAAGCGAGTGCGCAAGCTTTCCAAGGTGGAGGAGGACCACGATGCATTTACCGAGAAGCTGCTGACCCACATCCGCCAGATGCAGCCGCTGCAGGTCCTGGAGCCGCACCTGAACCGCAACTTTCACTTCCTGATGGGAAGCAACGAGACGCCAAGCACACCACCGGCTGGAAGCGGAGGAGCGGCGGCCACCCCAACGGCCTCGGGCGGAGGCAAGGTCAAGGGCGGATCCCTGAACTCCCGGGGCTGGCCGCTGGGCAGGCATTTAGAGGGACTGGAGGACTGCGACAGCGCCACCTTCGGACGCTTCGGGCGCGTCCGCATCCCGGGCATACCCTCGCTCTACGACTCCGACCGCTTCGGCGGCAGCGGTGGCCTGGTGGGGGGCTCGGCCTGCACGCGCTCCCCCTCGCCGTCGCTCTCGCCGGGATCGGACAAGAACAGCCTGCCCCTGTCGAGCATTCAGAACGACTTCTACGACCAGGAGTTCTCCACGCACATCGAGCGCAATCCGCGCGAGCGCCTGCTCCGGCACATCGGCGCTGTCCGGGACTGCAACCTGGAGACTGTGGAGCTGGTGGAGAGCGACAGTGTGGCGGCGTGGGCGGCCCTGCCCCGGGTCACGCGCTACCCGGGCCTGGTCCTGCTCAACGGTAACAGCAGGTGCCATGGAAGGATGTCGCCGGTGGCGCAGCCGGAGGATCCGATCACCATGCGCGTCCCTGTGTCGCCGCTGATCCGCTCCTGCGGCGAGGAGCTGCGCAAGACCCAGCAACTGGAACTGGGCACTGGCTCGAATAACAACAACAACAACAACTACCAGCAGAAGAACCAGAATGTGATACTCTCGCTGCCCGCCAGCTCCGCCTCGTCGGACAACATAGCCGGCGTGCTGCGGGATCTGGCCAATCTGCTGCACCTGGCGCCGTCGCTGACCTGCAAGATCCTGGAGGACAAGGCGCAGGTGGGCGGCGAGAAGCTGGAGGTGGACCAGGAGGACACCAGGGACGACTTCAAGCGTCCGCTAAACATCAGCCACAGCCACCTGCGCAAGATCCTCAACGGGCGCCGGAAGCTGTGTCGCAGCTGCGGCAATGTGGTCCACGCCTCCGGCCTGCGGGTGCCCCGCCACAGTCTGCCCTCGCTGGAGGAGCAGCTGCCCCGGCTGGCCCAGCTCATGGCCATGCTGCCGAAGAAGCCCACACCAGCGCCGTTCGTCTACTTCTGTGACCGATCCTGCTTCGCGCGATTCAAGTGGAGTGCCGGCAAGGAGAGCCAGGCGGAGGCGGCCAGCCTCCTGCTGCAGCCGGCGGGCGGCGCCTGCGCCTCCTCCACCTCCTCTTCCGCCTCTGTGTCGGCCACCGCCTCCGCCAGCGAGTCCCCGTCGCCGGCCTTGGCGGAGACCGTGGAGAAGCAAGAGCCGGAAGACGAGCAGGACGTGAAGCATCCGGCCATACCCGGCACCCCAGTGCAGCGCAAGTGCATCGTAAAGTGCTTCAGTGCGGACTGCTTCGGACTGGACCTTGACGAGGCGGGAAGGGCAGCGGGCACGGGATCAGGCGCACCTGGAACTGGAGCGGCCAACAACACGGTCTGGGAGTCGGATGCCAGCAGCCAGCAGCTGGAGGACACGCGGCAGTGCGTCTTCTGCAACCAGCGGGGCGACGGCCAGGCGGATGGACCCTCGCGACTGCTCAACTTTGACGTGGACAAATGGGTGAGTGCTCCTGGACTCTGGCTTCGTGGGTGGATCTTCTAATCTGGGTGGTTTTTCTGCTTGCAGGTGCATCTCAACTGCGCCCTGTGGTCGAATGGCGTCTACGAGACCGTGTCCGGCGCCCTGATGAACTTTCAGACGGCGCTCCAGGCGGGCCTGAACCAGGCCTGCAGTGCCTGCCACCAGCTGGGCGCCACCATCAAGTGCTTCAAGTCGCGCTGCAACAGCCTCTACCATCTGCCGTGCGCGATCCGCGAGGAGTGCGTCTTCTACAAGAACAAATCCGTCCACTGCAGTGCCCACGGTCATCCGCACGGCGGCATCGGCGGTGTGGGAGGCGGCGGAGCGGGCAGTGCGTCTGGCGGCGGCCTGGCATCTGGCGCTGGGAGCGAGAACGAACTCAGCTCGCTGGTGGTCCACCGGCGGGTGTTCGTGGATCGCGACGAGAACCGGCAGGTGGCCACCGTGATGCACTACTCGGAGCTGAGCAACCTGCTGCGCGTCGGCAACATGACCTTCTTGAACGTGGGCCAGCTCCTGCCGCACCAGCTGGAGGCCTTCCACACGCCCCACTACATCTACCCCATTGGGTACAAGGTGGTGAGTACTCGATAGATCATCCTGGGGATGGATCCTATCCTAATCCGTACTGTTATTTCAGAGTCGCTACTACTGGTGTGTCCGCCAGCCGAACCGGAGGTGCCGCTACATATGCAGCATAGCAGAGGCTGGGTGCAAGCCCGAGTTCCGCATCCTGGTGCAGGACGCCGGCGACAAGGAGCCGGAGCGTGAGTTCCGCGACAGCTCGCCGACGGCCGTGTGGCAGCAGATCCTCCAGCCCATCACCCGGATGCGCAAGGTCCACAAATGGCTGCAGCTCTTTCCCCAGCACATCAGCGGCGAGGATCTGTTCGGGCTGACGGAGCCGGCCATCGTGCGGATACTGGAGAGCCTGCCCGGCATCGAGACCCTCACCGACTACCGCTTCAAGTACGGCCGCAATCCTCTGCTGGAGTTCCCGCTGGCCATCAATCCATCGGGGGCGGCGCGCACGGAGCCCAAGCAGCGCCAGCTGCTGGTCTGGCGGAAGCCGCACACCCAGCGCACCGCCGGCAGCTGCAGCACCCAGCGCATGGCCAACTCGGCGGCCATCGCCGGGGAGGTGGCCTGCCCGTACAGCAAGCAGTTTGTGCACTCCAAGAGCTCCCAGTACAAGAAGATGAAGCAGGAGTGGCGCAACAACGTGTACCTGGCCAGGTAGATGCCGACAGAGTGATTCTCTTCCTAAACATGTAATAATATCCAACATTTTTCTATTCCAGATCCAAGATCCAGGGGCTGGGTCTGTATGCCGCCCGAGACATTGAGAAGCACACCATGATCATTGAGTACATCGGCGAGGTGATTCGCACCGAGGTGTCCGAGATTCGAGAGAAACAATACGAGTCTAAGGTGAGTTGGCTCCCAATTAGTCCCAATCCTCTCCTGCAGCGGATTATAATTCCCTAATTTCCAAACAGAATCGCGGCATTTACATGTTTCGGCTGGACGAGGATCGCGTGGTGGACGCCACTCTGAGCGGCGGCCTGGCCCGCTACATCAATCACTCGTGCAATCCCAATTGTGTGACGGAGATCGTGGAGGTGGATCGCGATGTACGGATCATAATCTTTGCCAAGCGGAAAATCTATCGCGGCGAGGAGGTGAGTGGCTTTGTTCCTAATCCTGACCAGATTACTGAATCCCTATCCCTTAAACAGCTGTCGTACGACTACAAGTTCGACATCGAGGACGACGCCCACAAGATACCCTGCGCCTGCGGTGCCCCCAACTGCCGCAAGTGGATGAACTAGAGGTGTGGAGCCGGTGCAGTGCCCAGTGAACAGGAACAGGAAGAGGAAGAGGATCAGGAAGAGGACTTGCTATACCAGACCAACTGCATGTACAATGTACATATATGTATATGGAAGCGTATACTTATATAGGAGCATAGGTAGCATCGCTAGGCAGTATATAGAACATGTACATAGGACCCTGTTAGTTATGTACATATATGTGCCCACTGTAGCTAATTTGTAACAATTTCTATATACACCCATGTATATATATACGTCTCGCTCGTCGGGCGACGGGGAGCGGAGCGGAGTGGAGCGGAGGAGAGTGTTTCATAGTCTAAATTATAAGCGTTTCTATATATGTACAAATATTTATATATATATAGAGAGAAATAGGCAGAATATAAATGTTAAAGCAAGGACATGACCACGCCCCTATTTTATTTAAAGCCCCGTCACCCCCCACCCCCCTTCCCCCCTATCCACCCCCTAGAGTAGCATTTCCATAAGTCGCATCATATATTATAGTTTTTTTTTTTTTTTAGACGCATCTCCACAAAACCAAACAAAATACAAAAAAATATACTTGACTTTATGCGCGTGTGCCTTTCCCCCCTGTTTACGATTATTAATTATTATTAATATATTATTATTATCATAATTTTAGGAATTATTTTTCACCCTTCTTATACACTATATTCGAGACTAGCTCAACGCCAATGTGTACAGCCTCCTTGAATACATACATACGCTGATAAGTCTACAAATACACACACGATATACATATTTTATTTTATTTAACTAGTTTGCGATTATTTTTAAGCGATTCACTAACTCAAAATGCAACTTGTATTTTTCATCCTCCACCAAACAACAATCCCCCCTCGTAATTGTTAAGTAAATTTTTAATGCAAAAAATGTCACAAAAGCGAGCTGTTTTATTTAAGGATGGGCTGGATCTGGGCTGGATCAGTTCTACTTGTTACTTTCGTCACTGTCCTCAACATGATTTACCTTCTAGAAAAAGGATAACTAACTAAACCATAGAATCGATTAGAGAAAGAAGATTAGGAGAATTAATACTAGTAGTTTCTAGCTCAGAACATTCTTTGATTTTCGTCACTATCTTCGATCATGAAGGGAGTGAAGGGAAGGACTTCTTCGAAAAAGAATACCCTACCTACTCACCCTCATTTGGTTTTAGAAATGATACTATTACATTTATGTACTAGACTTTAGTTTTATCGCAATTGCTAGTTACACAGGATACACAATAATGTTTAAAAAAAAAAAAACAATTAAAAAAGGGCGGATAAGATGGGGACTGACTGTACACGTTCCGGGGAATAATTTTGGAGTCAGGACTGCTGACTCGTTTCGGATCGCCGCTTGGCCCGGGACAGAAGCCTCTGCACCTGCACGCCAGCGGCCAATGTGAGGATGTCGAAATTCTTCAGGTACCAGGAAATGTTGTACATCAAGTGGATGCGCCAGTTCTTGTCGAGGAACGACTTGTAGAACTCGCTCATGCGATCGGCGGAGACCTCGGTCTCACCCTCCTTGTGCAGGCGTATGAAGTCGTCCTTTTCCTGCAAGTGTCAAAAGGAAAGAGATGGCATCATTGGGATTAGAAAGAGAGGGAGAGCGCTGTTATCCTAACCTCGTAAAAGCGCTTGTTGTGCCTCGTCCAGAAGTCCATGTTCCAGGCCTCGACTTCGATGCGCTTCAGACGCAGCTTCTTGGCCAGCTCCGTCTCTTGGTCACCGTAGTGCCTAACGTACGGCCGTAGATTCGACTGGGCATCCGGCGGCCCTATGTAGTCGCAGTTGACTGATGTAGGATCCGGCTTGTGGACCAACCCTCCAACGATTTGGATTCGGGCCTTTGGCTTCTGTGAGGCGGGGGGTGGCGGTTCCTTCTGTACTGCGGTGGCATAGCATCGCGGCAACTGCAAATACGAAAATTTTACAATTGAACTTCAAAATTAACGGTCGACATACTTTCAACTGGGAGAGTAATATCCGGTGTTGGGATTTAAAACATTTATTCATAATTTCGCTCGATTGTTGTTATGTCAGGTGGGGGTGGAAAACTATCGATGTTCACCCGCCTCCTACTGGGGGGGGTGGGATCCATTTATCGATAGAATGAATTATGAGATGGCTGAATATTTAATTTTAAAATAAACTTTTTATTCATTTGCTTACAAGATTTTCGAAAAGATTTTATTATTTTAGTTTTAGGATGAACTCATACATGTGTAATTATAGTGGAAAATTAATTTTTGCATCTAAAATATTGTGAAAAATTTGAAAAGAATTAAATCGTTATTGTCTTAATACGCATAATGTAAATTTAGGAGAAATTGTCGCTTAATTAAAAGTTAAATTTAAAAAAACAAGTCTCCCTTGCAAAATATATCGTTTCCAAGTGCCATCGCTATTGAACACCAATCAGCTGTGGGTCTGGTGTCTCGTGACAATAAATTAACGTTCCCCATCTGGAAAAACAAAAAACTAGCAAACATTAATTTTCAACGACGGAGCGTCCAGAGAACATGTCACCGAAAAACAACCACGATCCCACCTCGTCTGGTGACTCTGGCAACACCAATGTCCAGGAGGCAGACCTCCAAGGTGAGTCTTTCAAAGTTCCCAAGAAAAAAAAAAAACAGAAAAGAAAACCTAACTTGGCTTGTCCTGCAGAAATGGAGGATGTGAACCAGAGTCTGGACGCCCTCAGCTGTGCCCTGGATGCTGTGGAGCAACGCACGGATGACATTATGTCCCAGCTGCGGGCGCTGTTGAACTCCAACAGGGAGATCCGCCGCCAGCTGGCCGAGGAGAAGGACCAGGCCGCCGATCAGGATCAGGCCGATGACGACATGGAGGGCGCCGGGGAACCAACCAAGTAGCTGTCGAATGTGTTTTGTGCAAGTGCAATCGTAATCTGTTTTCGTTTGTTTCCTAATTTTTTTTGTACCATGTATTATTGATGATTATTAAACCTAAGTAAAATTAATTAACGGCCATCTATTGGGGGGTTGGCTTCTTTCTTTTGCTTTTGTCGGAGCCGGTCTGTTTCGCCTGCGGGGTGCGGGACACGTAGTCGTACAAGTACTCGAACATCCTCTTGGTCTCCTCCTTGAGTTGTCTATTCTCCTCCTGCAACTTCGCGATGTATGCATCTTGTTCGGTGGAAGCTGATCCTGATTGTGTAGTTCCTTCCTTGTCGGAAGATGCCTTCGTTGCTTTGGAGTTCCTTGTTGGTGGCTCCTCTTGCTCTGACGCGTCGGTTTCTAAATCTTCTGGTTGAGAGTCGTCCTGCTCCTCCAATTCGTCCTGCTCCTCCAATTCGTCCTGTTCGTCCGATTCATCTGGATCTTCCAATTCGTCCAGATCCTCGGCCTCCTCCTCCTCCTCTGCCTCCACTCCATTCTCACTTGCAGTCTTCTTTTCCATCAAAGCTATTAATTTCAGCACCAGCTCATCATCCAGAGCACTTTGCGGAAAGTCTTCCTCGTCCTCATTGTCTTCGTTGGACATCGGCGTCAGTTCAATGTAATCATTCTCCTCACGCGGGCAGATCATCCGCTTCAGACTGTCGGCGAACATCTCTGGCTGCTTGTGCTCCGGCTGGAAGACAACGCCACTGACCAGGCGAATGCGAAGATTGCTCACCGCCCCATTTTGAGGTATGGTCTTGATTAGCTGGCGGCTGCCGGTGTCCCAGACGCAGACCTGCTTGTCCTCTCCGCCGGAAACCAATGTCGTGGCGCTCATATTCAGAGCCAGACAGGTAATGGCTTTGCCTTCGGCGTGACCCACAAAGGCCTGTGCCTCCTCCTCATCCATGTGGTATTCCTAAAAGTAAGTAATGCAGTTGAATAAGCTATCCCAAAGGAGTTGTAGAGAGTTTCAGACTTACAGTCATTCTGGGAGTATTCTCCGTGTGAAATACGTAGATCTTGCCCTCGGCGGAGCCCACATAGACGCTCCTTTCCAGCTTGTCCACACACACACTGTGCAATGCCACTGGGAAGACCACACTGACGAGCAGAATGCCACCCATCAGGTCATATATTTTGCAGCAGCGATCCAGGGAGACGGTGTACAAGTACGAACGCGATCCTCCTATCCCAGTGTAGATATCTGTGACTGCCAGGCCGTGATCATTGAAGCTGTATAGTGGCTCGTTGCTATCCTGACCAGTGCCCGAGTCCAGCGGAGCACTGGCAGAAGTGAGGTTCCACACCAGAACAGCACCATCCTTGCCGGCGCTGACGAAGTGCTCTCCACTGTCAGTGAAGCGTAGGCAAGTCACGGCCTGGTAGTGCTTTGAAATGGTGTTGAGCATGCGACCCGTATTCAAGTGCCATAGGTAGATGTTCTCCTGGATTCCGGCCACTAGGAATGCTGCATCCGACGTGACGGCCATGGCATTGACCTTGCCCGGCACTACATACCGAATGCCCGACATCTGCTCCTGCTTGTTAATGGGCCAGACATGGATCAGGGGCTTGGCGGCATTTGCCGCAAACAAATAGTTAAGGCCAATGATGGAGAGGCCCTGGTGCTGGGCGCATCCGCCGCCTTTGTAGCGCATTAAGTCTGTGCCGGTGCGAAGATCCTGGACGCTGCACGTAGTGTTGTCCTCGCTGCCCGTGCTGATGAACACGGCCTCCACAACTTCAGTCATTTTAAAAAGATTCTTTAATTCTCACACGTGCTGTCCAAATATCGCGGCCAATAAGAGTCACCTGTAGTAATCGATAACTGGTAATCGATAACTGGTCTATCAAAAAAGTGCTGCCAAGCTATTTAAACTTAGTAAAAGCGACTATTTATAAAATAGAATTTATTATGCAGCTATGTTCTCTTAGTTAAAGAATTGACATTATGCTTCTTCTTTTTTTAATCATTTTATTAAATCAACTTCATTTTTTAAGTACATATTTTTATATTTGGTGAGTTTTGTGAGTTGGCATCACTGGCAGCACTGTGGATCCGATAGCCAAACAGCTGTTCTCCTTGCCCCCATTTGGAGCATTCTGGCGCATCGTTTTTTTTTGTGTGCCTGGAGAATAACAAACGCAAGTCGGCACGTGCAGCGCGTAGAACAGCGACGAACTGCAGCGTGAAAAACAAAAAAGTCAGCGTCGCCGCGGGAATCTCGATATGCACATAAACGAACTGACGTAAAATGAACGCATTGCGCAACATCTTTACATCGCGTACCCTCAACTACCTGCGCCAGAATGGACAGAACGCCATCCTCAACGCCACCCAACAACAGCAGGCGGATGCAGTGCCGCTGCCGGATGCAGAGAAGACGCTGAAGGATGCCAAGCGCCCGTCACCGCTCTCCATACCGCGCTCCATTCTCGATGCGTGCCAGTTTACGGCCAAGCCCTTTGACCTGACGCGCTCCACCACCGGCGCCCAGTCCAGTGGCTCCCTTTCGCCCACCACGCTGAAGCGATTCCGGCGCATGCAACGCCGCATGGAGCTGGTGTATCGTTGCAAGCTGTGCAACACCCGGAACACGAAGACCATCAGCGAGGAGGCCTACTACAGTGGCGTGGTCATCCTACAGTGCGACGGCTGTGCCGTGGACCATCTGATCAAGGACAATCTGGGCCTGTTCACCAGCAGCGACGGCGACAGCAGCATCAGCTCCGGTATCAGTACCAGCAAGAGCATCGATCAGGTTCTATCCGACCGCCATGCCAAGGTGCGTGTGATCAAGGTGAACGAGCACGGCGAGCTGATTTAGGAATCTAGTCATGGCGTCGGGACGGACGACCGGCTGGCGCCAAATTGTCAACCTGGGAATCGTGTCAGAGTTGGACACACTCCGCGGGTGAGCGGACACCGTGAACCGAAACACCTCCAGCCTACAGCCTACAGCCCAGCAGCCAACCGGAGTTTTGGATGCACTTCTCCTCCAATCTGTTAAATCGATCGAAATAGTTGTTGCTGTTGGAGCAACGATCGCTCCTCGACCGGCTGAAAAGCATGTTAATAATTCTATACACTGTAATTGTTGATTCTTTACGATTGGCAACCGGACCATGAGTAATGCACTGATTAAAACGAACTCTCAGTTCGAAAGTAAAACGTACAGATCCGGTTGTTTATTTTTTTTTTCATATTTATCTTATCTTTTTGCGACGACGACGCATTATGATCCATATGCTGACACATGCGGGCAAGGGAATAGAAATTACTTTACGATTCTAGGGATTATCATTTATGTTTTTAAAAAATAATAAATTCCCTAGAGGTTTGTAAGCCTAAGATCCACTCCAGACAAGTACCTAGCTTGTGGGAATCATAAGTAATTTTTAATATTAGAGATGAACTTCTTAGTTTAATGACCGCCGCTGTTGTTTATGCCATTGATTAATGTTTTTACCCGAAATTAGAAATTAGCCAACGTCAGCATTGTATGGAAAAGCCGTAGAAGCGACGAGTAAAGCCGAAGGGGCGTGGTCCCCGGTTGCTAATTGCTGGTGGTATTGATCAAAACCCCGTCCGGGTCCGGGGGCTAATTATCGGGCAAAAATCAAAATTGGCACACTGCCGCCCCTGGTGAAATGAGTACCGGGGGGGCGATAGTGGCAATGGCACCAGACCCCCAGATATAGACGGATGGACGGGCAGCACGCCGCACACGAGTGATCTTCTGCGTCGCTAAAAGTTGGCCCAAACCAGTGAGGTGGTCTGCGAGGTGACAGACGAACCTAAAAGTGAAGGCAATAAATTAGCATATAACCCAAATGTCGGCATTACCGCATTGTTTATTTTTAGGCCGAGATTTAACTTTACGAGAAATTCTAGAAACATTTTTTAAGAAGGCATTTTTTAATTCTATGGTCACTATGGAGTTAGTATACTACATTTCTTCGGGCTATAGTTGTACGGAATCTAGACTATTACATCCAGGGTGGAACTTATCCTGATCAAAAAAATCGTATATATTTTAGTGTCTTTATAATAAAAGCTCTAATACCCCCGACCCCCCGTTAAAAATTATTTTGAGAAATTCTGGAATATGTTGTATTCTCCAAAAAGAGTAGAGAAGATGGAGCATGTCGGGATATAAAAATTTATATGTATTTTAATGCCTTTAAGAAAAAGTTATAATACTACTGGTATGTGTTTAGTTTCTCTAATTGAGGTAGAACTTTTAATCACTATCACTATATCTTTCAATTATGCGAAATTTTAGAATTTTGTGTAGCTTCCAAAAGGATTTTTTTTCGAAAAGATCTTCCAGACAATGCAGAACTATAAATATATATAGCTTAAAACTTCGTATGTAGTATATAAATAGGACTCTATAGAGCTAGTCTTTAAAGAATTATGATAAAATTGTCTATATTTTTTAATTAAGCTTCAAATACTATTTTAAGAAATTCTAGAAACTCCCTCGAAGAGGTTACTAAAGACTAGATAGAGCTACAGTCTTTAGATAGAGCTAGTCGTAATGAAAGAAATATATTAAAAATATTCTATATTTTTAAGGTAGACCCTTAAATATTAATTTAAAAAATTCTAGAATCTCCATATGCTTCAAAATGTTTGTTTTCCAAATATTTTGTAGAGTATTCGAATATCTCTACATTTTATAAGACTTTGTCTATAGGATTTAAGAAAGACTAACGTAATCTGGTAATAATGAAATAGATATATATTTTTCCGTGCCTTTATGACAATATTGCCGTGGACGGATTTGCTTATTTTTTTGTAGAGCTATTAAACATTACTTATAAATTCTAGAATCTCTAATGCTTTAGAAATGTATTTTTCTAAAAGGGTTTTGAAGACTAGAGTATAGGACTAAAAAGAGTATAGGATATAAGAAAACCTAAAAGATTAATAGCTAATCCCAATCAGAAAAATAAATATTTTTTAGAGCCTCCATGCCAAAATTATAGCACCCCCGGCGAGTGCCATTGTGGATCGCCAACTAAGCATGACAAGGCGATTTTCTGACGTCAAAACAATTCCAAGTATATAGTATGGATTCACACGAATGTATATAGAAATCGCAAAAACGAAAACACACCCATTTGTGGCGTCTGGTATATAGAAGGGATGGTATCAGCCAGACGCGCGACAGCCATAAAGTGAAGATAAAAACGTCATCAGTTATCTGGGGAGCTGGTGGGGAGCCCGCCCAAAACCATAATGAAAGTCGAGCCATTCCTTGTTTTTGTTTTTTAATTTAAACCTATTTTATTCGAGGGTCTTTCGAATACGTGTAGGGTGTATAATGATGTGTATGTATATCATATAGTACTAAAATCTCATTCGGTATTGCTAGGATATAAATTAAAATTGTGATTTGTATTGTTTCTCAATTTACAATTTTAGAAGACGCTTCCTTAAATGTACATATTTATGCAAGTGTTTTAAGGTTTTAGTTTTTTTTAGTTTCAAGTTAAGTTAGTTTGCTTTTAAGGTATTCTCTTTCGGTATTTCGTTTCTGACTCTGCTGGAAGCGCACTTTTGTTACGATTCTTGTGATCCTTAGAGCCTGCTGCGCTGGGCCATCCTCCTTAGATCCTGGGTAGGGGGGCTGTTAACTATTTCACAAATTGGGAATGGTTTCCCGAAGAAATCTCAAGTGGAAACCAAGTCGGACCGGGTGTTATCAGGTGGCGCTTTGCTCTTTGATAAGCTTTTGGGTGATTTGTTGGATGACTGGCATGAGTGGAAATTGTGCTAGATGAACTTAGGCCTAAATGGAGCTTCTTTTGTGAATCTGGAGTCTCTTGACTTGGAGACTTGGTTAGATAGCTTGGTAATCGACTGGCTCAGGTTACATATTTCTATTTACATTTATATAGTTTCGCGGTTACAGGACGAAGCAGTGCGATCTCCTCGAAATGTGTTTCAGATTCAGTCGTTGGCGGACAGTGCGTATCGGGGCCATAAGGACACACTTGTTCGAGTTGTCCCTATGGCTCTGCTTGCACTGTTTCTCAGCTTAAAACTAACATTTTCCAGATGCTTAGTAACTTAGTTATTGCTGTTAATTACCATCCGATTTAGCTGCTGGGGTCTGGTCTGGGCTTACTTGGAATATATATCCACTATATAAACTAGTTAGCACATGGAATACTAAATAAAATACTTGGTAATATGGAATGTTTCGGGGGGGACGGGGAGGAATGTTTTGCAAGGCTTACACACTATTATGTTCTTGGGGGAGGGGGTTGGCTTCGGGTTCGAAGTTGGCACAGATCTATTGGTTAGCCTATTCCTAACTCTCCTTCTCTCTCTCTCTCTCTCTCTCTGGCTCGCTATCCATCCGTCTCTTTCGTTTTAGTGGGAGCCCGGAAGCTGGATCATTGCCATTTGATCTACCTTAAGCCTATGTTGCATTGTTAAATACTTGTTTTGCCTTTAAGTACTACTACAGGTAAGTAATTCGTTTAAAAATACAATCTGATCTTAACTAGGCTGCTAGTCGCTTAATTACAATAAAATGTTAAATAAAATAATACATACAATAAACAGCCAGCCCTGAGAATTCGTGGGATCGAAACATCGAGTAAACAATAAGTCTTGAGGCTTAAATACAATAATACATGTGGTCAGGTTGGACATTTGATTTAAAATAGTAAGGTGTTTAAAAGTAAGGTCTGGGTCTGGTTAAAAATAAACTCAAACAGGGCTGAACATTGAGTGAGTGCGACATGCCAGCTAGCTGCCTTTAATCGCGGACAAGTATATTAAGTTAGTTGGTCTTACAGGACTATTTCACGTGGCGATCGTAGCCGCGACCCCGGCCACGGCCCCGCCCTCTTCCGCGACCCGCCATCCGCTTGGACCGGTCCTTCTCCTTATCCCTATCCTTGTCCACCTCGCAGTCCCTATCTCACAGGGTGCTCCGGCCCGAGCGGCCCACAGCGCCGACGACTCCGTTGGGGCGGTTGTGCCGCCGCTTGTGCAGATACAGCCCGGCTGCCTGGGCGAACGCCGAGCCACAGATCTGGCAGACATAGCGCTTCACCTTGTCGTGGATCTGCTTGTGGTTCTGCAGATTTTTGGTCGACTTGAAGGTCTTGCCGCAGATGTCGCACTTGAACTCCTCGTTGCTGTAGTGCTGCTTCAGGTGCTCGAAGAGGCTGTTGCGCGCCACAAACGACTTGTTGCACTGCGGATAGTCGCACTTGTAGCAGCGCTCGCGCTCGTCCTGGTGCACGATCTGATGGGCGTTCAGGTGGCCGGGCGTGGCGAAGCTGCGGCGGCACACATCGCATCCGTAGGGCTTTCCCCCGTCCCCGGGATCCTGGTCTTCGGGTATCTCCATGGGAGTCTTCGAGGCCGACCCCGAAGGCCTGCCCCGGCGCCCAGTGCCTGAAGGCCCAATCTTACTCTCGGGCTCGTCGTCGCCGCATTCAATGATGCTGTGGTTGAGGGCCAGCGAGGGCAGGAACAGCTCCTCGTTGTGCCGGCGCAGATGCTCGTCGTAGTTGGCCTTCTCCCGGAAACTGGCCGTGCACAGTTCGCAGTTGAATTTGACGTCCGAACCGACGCCCAAGTGCAGCTCCTTGTGGCTGTTGAACTCCTCGCTGCTGGTGAACTGGATGGTGCAGATGTGGCAGTAGTAGCCGCCACCCAAGCTCGGTTGATGGCTCAGCAGATGCAGGTCCATATCCCTCAATGTCTGGACAATCTCCGGACAGTGCTGGCACTTGAAGGGCGGTATGTCGCCGTCCATGAAGCTCATTTGCTCATAGTAGATGTACTTTGAGGTGAAGGGACGCCCCAGCCGTTCGCAATTGAGGCGCTCCATCTTCTGCTTGGAGTAATCGAAGCGCAGCTGCGAAATTCGTTTCGAGATCTGGATGGTGGACACGTCGATGAGCTCCTGCAGCTCCACGGCCATCTGATGGAGGCCCTCGCCGCGCCGCTCCTTGCTGCGGTAGTCGGGATCGAAGCGGTTGTAGAAGCACTGATACCGCTTCACCATGGTCAGTAGCCTGGAGGTCGAGGTGTCGCTCCAAATGGCCGAGAAGCGACGACGGTAGTTCGCCTCCTGCAAGAAGGGGAAAGGGTTGAAACATTATTGATTCAGTGGTGGAGGGGGATGGTGTATTCGTCAGAAACTATTCCCCTTGTCAGCACAAAACTCTGCTTCCAAACTCATGAATGGCAACCGAACGAAAACACACGATTCTAAAGAGTCGGCTGAAAATGTCTATTATATTATGAGACTGCATGCCCAGGGGTTGCGGCGTATTACTCAGCACAGGGGTATTTTTGCACCCACACATCAAAGACTCGCAAGAATAATTAATACTCGTTAGGTTTCTATTGTTAAACATTTACTTTGTCTCGCAATCGAATTCCTCGCTAATTTTTAAGCCAATTAAATATTAATCTAGCGTTGTATGAATATAAATATTTAAAAAAAATATAATGTTGATGTTAATCCAACCCCCTACCTTCCGACTTACCTTTACCACCGTTTTGGTCATCTTGTCAGCGTAGCTGTAGACATCATTGAGGAACAGCAGCTCCTTAAAGTACCACAGCGTACTGACGTTCGTGTTCTCCAGGGCCATGCGATTGCACTCCCGTTTGTACACTGTCCTCAGGTTGTCCCACTTGCGGGTGATGGCGTCCTTGGCCAGGGAAATGTTGAAGCGGCTCTTGAACTCAAGCACGATCCAGTCCAGGAAGCGGGCGCGTTTCACCCGGTCCCGGAACTGTGGATTGCTGTGATCCCACAGGAAGGGATTGCGCTTGTACGACTGGATCAGAAACTTGATCATCTTCCGGTCCTTGATGTGCATCGTTACTGCCCTTTCCCGCTGTGAAGCACATTAGCTATCAGTGACAATGACTGGACAGACTAGATCCACCCCCAGACTTACCCCCAGCAGTGATTCCTCGACCATTTCGTCGTAGTTGGGAAAGTCGCCTTCGGCTCCATGACTTGTCTCCTCCACCCCACTGTAGTCCATGTACTCGCCCGAGTTATCGTCCATCATTTGTGAGTCGTAGTCGTCCAAGGAAGACTCTCCCTCGACAATTAGCGGCTCGTTTTTCACGTCCACTCTCTGGCGCCGTTTGGTGACCTTCATCCTTGTTTTCGGCTTGGCGCTCACTGCCGGAACGCTCTCAGGCAGTATAGTCTCCTCGTCGTCGTCGTCCTCTTCGTTCGCCTCGGATCCTGGCAGCCGGTCGTCGTCATCGTCGTATTCATCGGCTATGTCATCGTCGCTGCAGGGCAAATCCTGCAGCTCCTGTTTAATAACCATTTGCGGCTCCAGCAGAGCCGTATCGGCGTCCGTCAAGTCTTCGATCTCATGGAAGTTTGGCAGATCCCCATTGCTGCCCCGGTCGAGGGCCGACAGCGATACTGGCTCACCTAATCTAAAGGGGGGCTCATTGGCATCAGAGTCGGGATGATCGCCCAGATGCACTGTTTGCATGTGTCCGATAAAGGAGTCGAAGTAGCGGAACTTCTCGCTGCAGACCACGCATCGCAGGGCAAAGTACTGGAAGTCATCTGTGGCCGTCACCACGCCACAGTCCTTGGTGCACTGACGGAAAATCTCCTCGTCGTTTGTACGTGGATACGCCAGCACGCTCATAGCGCCGCCGGTGCTATTGCGGTATCGCTGGTCACTGGTTCGGTTGCTTACTCAACGCCGCGCTCCTTCTTCGGTACGGCACACGTTCAATTTTCCCGCTGGCTTTTAGATTTAAAAAAAAAAATTGCCAATAAAATCGTCGCCGTTTTTTGTTGGTGTTGTTAGTGATACAGTCGCATTTCGTTTGTATATCGGTTTTAACAATCGGGGGTGCGATAACATGTTTTGTTGTTAGTATTTTTTTTATTGTTGTGTTTTTGGTATTTTTTATTTTTTATTATTCTTATTTGTTAAGTAAAAACATGATACCATATATATTATTTTAGAAAAAATAGAAATATATATTTTTTTTAAATTAATTTTAATATTTTATCGTGACTAATAAGAAATATCGATGGCAACACAGTTCTGCACGACATACTGGTCACACTGTCTTCTGATTTCATCGGTTCCAGTCGCGGCGTGTTGGTTTTATTTTGTTGCAACAATTTTCTTTGACTTTACTTGATAAAACAAAGTTCTAAAGCCATGGCTTCGATTAGCTTGCTGAACCCCAAGGCCGAGTTCGCCCGTGCCGCCCAGGCTCTGGCCATAAACATCAGTGCCGCCAAGGGTCTCCAGGATGTGATGCGCACCAATCTGGGTCCCAAGGGCACAGTTAAGATGTAAGTGGCTGCAAATCCTTACTATTACTTTCATTACCACCATGTGGGTATAGTTTCACTCAAAATTTGGCGAAAAACGGGTAAAAACATGCAATTTGGCGACAGCTGCGGCAACTGCCAGTTTGAGGTTAGAGGCGAAGTAGCGGCATGCGTCATCGTTGGGGGGAAAGAGATGGGGCGCTGTCTGCAGCTCTTTGAAATTGGAATTCTTGATTTTTAATCACCAGGACATAGCTTTTAGAGATGGGCTCAATTAAAGTAGAGTTATGAGGAACTGTATTGGCGGGAAAAGCTTTTTCCGGTCTGGGTAGCCCTTGCAGTGGGTCGAATCTCTCACAGGTGTGGGGAGTCACGCGCTCGTTCTGGAATATTCTCTAAAAAATATTCTTTTGTATGCTTCCAGGCTGGTGTCCGGCGCCGGCGACATCAAGATCACCAAGGACGGCAATGTTTTGCTGCACGAGATGCAGATCCAGCATCCCACTGCCTCCATGATTGCCCGGGCCAGTACCGCTCAGGACGATGCCACCGGCGATGGCACCACCACCACTGTCATGCTGATTGGAGAGCTGCTGAAGCAGGCCGACATCTACCTGTCCGAGGGACTGCATCCCCGCATCATGACCGAGGGATTCGAGAAGGCCCGTGATAAGGCGCTCGAGGTCCTGGACAAGGTGAAGGTGCCCGTGGAGATCAACAAGAAGAACCTGGTGGAGATTGCCAACACGAGTCTGAAGACCAAGGTGCATCCGGCTCTGGCCGACCTGCTCACGGACGTCTGTGTGGACGCCGTGCTGACCATTGCCAACGACAAGAACAAGCCCGTGGACCTGCACATGGTTGAGCTGATGGAGATGCAGCACAAAACCGACACTGATACGCAGCTGGTGCGCGGTCTGGTCATGGATCACGGTGCCCGCCACCCGGACATGCCAAAGCGTCTGGAGAACGCCTACATCCTGACTGCCAATGTGTCGCTGGAGTACGAGAAGGCCGAGGTGAACTCAGGATTCTTCTACAAGACCGCCGAGGAGCGCGAGGCCTTTGTGCGCGCCGAGCGCGAATTCATCGACCAGCGCGTCAAGAAGGTTATCGAGCTGAAGCGCTCCGTGTGCGATGGCACCGACAAGACCTTCGTGCTGATCAACCAGAAGGGCATTGACCCCATCTCCCTGGACGCCCTGGCCAAGGAGGGCATCCTGGCTCTGCGTCGCGCCAAGCGCCGCAACATGGAGCGTCTGGCCCTGGCCTGCGGTGGCACCGCCATGAACTCGTTCGACGACCTCCAGGAGGAGAACCTGGGCTACGCCGGCGTCGTGTACGAGCACGTGCTCGGCGAGAACAAGTACACCTTCGTGGAGGACTGCAAGAACCCGCTGTCCGTGACCATCCTGATCAAGGGCCCCAACAAGCACACCATCACCCAGATCAAGGACGCCATCCGCGACGGTCTGCGGGCCATCAACAACACCATTGCCGACAAGGCCCTGGTTCCCGGTGCCGGTGCCTTCGAGGTGCGTGCCTACAACGAGCTGACTGCCTTCAAGGACACCATTAAGGGCAAGGCCCGCCTGGCCGTGCAGGCCTTCGCCGACGCCCTGCTGGTCATTCCAAAGACGCTGGCCGTCAACAGCGGCTACGATGCCCAGGATACGATTGTCAAGCTGACGGTGGAGGATCGCCTGAACCCGGATCTGGTCGGCCTGGATCTGGCCACCGGCGAGCCGATGAAGCCAGTGGACCTCGGCGTCTACGACAACTATATTGTGAAGAAGCAGATCCTCAACTCGTGCTCCATCATTGCCAGCAACCTCCTGCTCGTCGACGAGGTGATGCGTGCGGGCATGACGAGCCTCAAGGGCTAGTCCTAGTTCCCTAGTTCCCAATCGTCTGGATCCAAATACGTTAACCAAGTTAATCCACCCGCGCCTCCTATCCTCACAAATCATAAACAATTTGAAAACGCAAGAGATCGGAATTGTTTGAAAGTATTTGCAAACAACAAAACACACACCACTCACGCATTACTTAAACGCTAATGTATTTCTCTATTTTTTTATTTCGACTAATGATTACTTACTACAAACCATTGGTTTAAAAATAAATGAAAACTATAAAATAATCTACAAATTCGCTACTCCCTTGGTTTAAACGGCCGAAAATAAAGCTGTGCGGGCATTTGGGATAAAAGTTGATGTATTTCGCATATGTCCTTTTCTGTTATTTACCCAGCCGAAAGGATAAGCTTCCATTTTCGATTCAGTCTCCTTTTACATCCTTTCGCCTCCTCTGACACATAGGAAATGCATAACAAAATGAGGAGGCTCCTCTCCACTCGCCACTCACCCTGGCATTATGCTAATGTCGCCCACCCAGTACAGTGTGTATCTTTTGTCAGATTTCCCCAGGGATTTTGAAGTACATATGTATGTGTCTGGTGCGGTGCGATTCGTCCGGCCGCAGAGTTCACTGTATCGTGTGGCGAGAACATTTTTGGAAATGTCTAAAAGGATTTCTCATGTCAACGCACGGAAATTGATATTGAAATGAGCATGATAATGAGCTTCAAATTTGTTTTGCTTCCTTCGACCATTTGCCACATGGTCGGCGTGGGCAGAGAGGGGGTTGTTGGCTATACAGGACACATCTGTCGCGGGGGCAGTCACAGATGGGGTACTCACAGATTTGAGTATTTGAAGAAAGGTTACAAAAAAATAAAGGTATAAAAAGGATATTGTACAACATTTTTTTTGTTAAACATTTCTTTTAAAATATTATTTTTTTTCAAACCATGATATATTTTTGGAAATATTTAATGTTTTATACTTAACAGGTAAGATTTTAAATTGTTATTCCATCTCTTATAGTACATAGTACTGTGGTACTTTTCATCAATGAGCTAAAGTCTATAATATATAAAGTAAATATTATTTCTAACAACATTTATTTTAAATATAAGCTTAATTTAAAGAAAATAAATCAATCAAAGATATGTACATAATATTTGTTGCAAAGAATCTATAGAGAGATCATGGAAGAGTTGTGAAAACATTATTCTTGTAAATTTTAATATTTTCATTTTTTAGTCCACTACTTTTTTATTCCTTTTACTTTTATTGGTTATAAACCACTTTTTTGTTGGTTTTACTAATCATTAATCATTAGTTTAGTTAATCATTAAAAAAGACTAAAGCCAATATATTTTCTGATTCTGGTATTCAACTTATACCCTTTCTATATGCCATTTATTATTTTATTATCTCTTCTATCTATTAAACCTGATATGTATTTTTATGTCATATTCATATTCTTAAGGCAATGAGGCAATTTCTTTTGAATGAGGAAAGTAGCTTATGAGTTTCCTGATTACAAAACGGTACTTCATTTCCTGATCGGATACGAATTAGAAGAGATATGGCCACCGGAAGGAGCAAAAGTGTCGAAATTGCGAAAACCCACAATTTTGTAGGGGAACCCCTAGGAAAAAATTCGAAAAATTTAAAAACCATATTAAAGCAATGTTTTGAAAGAGAAAAGTAGCTTTTGAGTTCCCTGATTACAAAACGGTACATCATTTCCTGATCGGATACGAATTATAAGAGATATGGCCACCGGAAGGAGCAAAAGTGTCGAAATTGCGAAAACCCACAATTTTGTAGGGGAACCCCTAGGAAAAAATTCGAAAAATTTAAAATCCATATTAAGGCAATGTTTTCAATGAGGAAAGTAGATTTTGAGTTCCCTGATTACAAAACGGTACTTTATTTCCAGATCGGATACGAATTAGAAGAGATATGGCCACCGGAAGGAGCAAAAGTGTCGAAATTGCGAAAACCCACAATTTTGTAGGGGACCATATTAAGGCAATGTTTTGAAAGAGGAAAGTAGCTTTTGAGTTTCCTGATTACAAAACGGTACTTCATTTCCTGATCGGATACGAATTATAAGAGATATGGCCACCGGAAGGAGCAAAAGTGTCGAAATTGCGAAAACCCACAATTTTGTAGGGGAACCCCTAGGAAAAAATTCGAAAAATTTAAAAACCATATTAAAGCAATGTTTTGAAAGAGAAAAGTAGCTTTTGAGTTCCCTGATTACAAAACGGTACATCATTTCCTGATCGGATACGAATTATAAGAGATATGGCCACCGGAAGGAGCAAAAGTGTCGAAATTGCGAAAACCCACAATTTTGTAGGGGAACCCCTAGGAAAAAATTCGAAAAATTTAAAATCCATATTAAGGCAATGTTTTCAATGAGGAAAGTAGCTTTTGAGTTCCCTGATTACAAAACGGTACATCATTTCCTGATCGGATACGAATTAGAAGAGATATGGCCACCGGAAGGAGCAAAAGTGTCGAAATTGCGAAATCCCACAATTTTGTAGGGGAACCCCTAGGAAAAAATTCGAAAAATTTAAAAACCATATTAAAGCAATGTTTTGAATAAGGAAAGTAGCTTTTGAGTTTCCTGATTACAAAACGGTACATCATTTCCTGATCGGAT